CCTATGCAAAAAATACATAAAAACAATTAGTTGCAAAATAATATTATGTACAGGACAAATAAAATATGAACAAAAAAACTCACAATTTCTGTGGCATTCCTTCCACTAGCCATGCCAACCACGGCTCTCTTCAAGCTTCCCTTCCATAAAGTACATGCTTTGTTGATAGTCTTCCACCAATCATAAACAACACCGCCTTCCCTCCCGCCACTATTGCAGTTTTCATGGAACTTTGGAATGATTTTATCCCACAAAATCTTTTTATTTTGATTCGTGCCAACTGCACCATCCTCGCTAACAAAAACTCATGCCAAGCAGAAAGCAACATCTTCCTCACATGTCCAATTACGACCTCTAATATGCTCTATTGCCATGTTGAAAATTTTGGAAGTGGAAAGAAATGGTAGAAAGAAAAATTGGAAGAATTGTAGGAGAAAATTGAGTGTTGTGTGGATGTTTGAACAAATACATAGGTATTATAGAGTTTTTGGGTGAATTTTGAGTTAAATAATTATTTTTAATTATTTTAGTTGTTGGATTTAAATTTGGGCTGCTACATCTTTTTTTACTGTTAGATTTGATTATATTTTATCTCAGCAATTGGATTTAATGTATTTTAAAAATACATTTTAAAAAAAAAGAAAAACAAAATTTGAATCTGGACCTTTGGATCAACTAACAGTCCAAAAGTAGCAACCGTCCGATGCAAAAAATAGTCGTTGGGCTCCTGATGGTAGCTGACAACGGCCTTGACAGTGGGTCCCACCATGTCGAGCGCTGAATGCCTCAGCTTGCTTGGGGAGAGTGGGGCGCGTCCTCAGGTCGAGAGTGGGCTGGGTTTGGGCGAGTCCACGCGTTTGTGGGATAATTCTTGGGGGGTATTTGGCTTTTGTTTGGTATTTGACTTTTAGCCCAAACATTTAGGTTGGGTTGGGTTGGGTTAGGTTTTGGTGGAGGGGGAAATAAATGGGAAAATTTGGCTTTTAGCCCAGGGTTGGGTTCAATCTTAAGAGGCTCTTTAGCATTTCCCTCGAGCTAATCATAAGCAAATCACTTTGCTCTTTATTCGAAGTTCAAACTTAGCCTTTGGATTCTAAGCTAGCCAGGACCATGGGGACAAAGTCCAAATGAGATTCTCAACTAGATTAGTTTCTTAGGTGAAATCGCATACTAGTTTATGTTCTTTTATCTTCTGGTCTAGTGTCAACTGTTGCCAATGTTACTATGTTAGGATGGCTTGCACTGTTAATGCTTATACTTTAGGTAGTAATTACAGGTTTTTACATGTAAGTCCTCGAAAAAAAACACACTTAAAACAACTTCAAACTCAATACTTTAGAGAAAAAACATAATATACTTTGTAACACTAAAGAAATTTCATAACTAAAAATCAACTAAAACATGACAAGTGAATAGATGAGGTATCTTTTTCACCAATTAATTAAACTCTTGAAGTGTTTTTGTATAAATGTAGAAGTTGTCGAAGTGTTTGTTCTAATTATGTTTTCCACAATTTAATAGGCCTAATTGGCTTCCCAAAAAATAAATAATTAAAAAAACAAGATCATTTTCATAAGCCAAAATTTCACTATTTGGAAAAATACATTTTATCACGAATGATCTCTGAAATTACCCACTCCATCAAGAGATGGTCCTTGAAATTGAAAATCTATTAACGTAGTTTCTGAAAATCTATTAAGTACTGACGTGACACAAAATTAGGTCTCAAAAGTTTAATAAATATTGCCATGTAGATTAAAAAATTTCAATAATAAAAAGTAATTTTTGTTCTTATGTAATTAAAATTTAAAAATAAAAAAAATAAAAAAGAAGAAGAAGAAGAAGATGTACAGTTCATCTTGTTCTTCCCCTTCCACTCGACCAACCACTACAACTAGACCTGTAAACAGATCTGGTTTATTGGGTTTGGGTCGGGTTTCACCTGACCCGTTAATTTAATGGGTCATTCAAACCCAACCCGTTAAGTTAATGGGTCATCCAAACCTAACCTGTTAAGCTAGGGGTCATCCAAACCCAACCTGTTAACAATTTTTTTTTTGTTTCACCCGTCATCTGCGCCTTCATCATCGACCTCTTCTGGGCCGCAGCTCTGGCTGATTTTTTGTATTTCCCTAAGATCCATGAACAAACCACCCAAAGTTCAAAGGACCTCACCGACACCATTTTAGAATTCCCTGGACGGAAATCTCCTCTGAAGGCTATACACATGATCGAATCGGTGCTCGACCGAAACGACCCTGTTTATTGGGACTTCCTCTCCTTTTGCTCATATCTTCCCAAATACTAAGGAATCATCGTCAACGCGTTCGAAGAGCTCGAGCCACATGCCATCCTCCAAGCCATTGTTGTCGGTGAGGGGTGTGAATTTCACGGCGTTGGAAGATCTGCCGCCTTCTCCGAAGCTGAGGTATCTAGTGCCGCTGGATTTAGAGGGTAGGCAGTTGTTGACCCTAAAAACTACCAAGCCTACGTGGCTCGCAGGCCGAGCAATCTATAAGCTAACTACGTCATTCGGTGAATGCGGGGCGTGCCAACTCGTCGGCCGAGCTCGGCCGAGGAGTAAATTTTGTTGATGTTGAGTTGGGTGCGCGGCTGACTTCTGCGTCTTGCGATTGCGGCCGAGAAAGGAACACGTCTCGGCCTCTTGGGCTCTCGAACCTGAAGACAAGGTTACTATTCTTACGAAGTTCAATATCAAATTCGGCTTTCAATGTGCCGAATGTAATAACTGTAACACCTCACTTCGCCGAGAAGGCTGATGAGATGACATTGACCAATAAGGATTCATAAATCCTTCTCGACCGAGACTTGGATAGGTAATCAACCGTCCTCGCCGCAGTGCTGTTGATGACAACGGAAGATACTGCGAGATCAGCCGATTCTACGGTGACAGAGCTATCTATGCCGACTTAAGGTGTCACCGGTTGCTTTCACAGTGCTGTTGATGCCAACGGAAGATGTGTCAGCGAAAAGAGAAAATAAAAATCTCAAAGTTGTTGAGAGAATTTGCGCAGGGCAGTTGTGTGTTGAATTGGATGTCCTCTTTTGTCGTTGCCACTGCCTCTGTATTTATAAGACTGAAGTACTTGGCTTGCACGGTCATATAATGTTGTAGAGTCTGACTGCAACTCTACCTTGCAGAATGAAATCTGATATGTGGCATCGGCTGGCTGACCTTTCATACAAAATATAAAAACTATCTAGGCTTATCCCATCATGACCAAAGACCTAGCTTACCTAGGCTTCTCTCTCCACCATCAAATCCTTGCTTTATCTCATTAAGACTCCCAATGCAACTAAAGCCTTCTTTTTCCATGACGGATGTCCAGGTGCAACCATACATGCAAATTAAATTATAATTTAATTGCAATATCATCTAATCACTTGAGATACCATCTTTCATCAAATACCACTTTGTATCAGGAGTCCTAATGATGCATGACTCACGTGGCCACAACAATATCACAAAAGAAACATATTCTCCAGTATCCTATTTTGCATGCCTACCCGATATGCTTCGAGATAACTGTATAGATAATTTTAATTTATCATCTAAGAGATAAATATATGATTAAAAAATCATAGTGTTATCCTTTAAATAATAATTAAAAAATTATCTTAGTAAATCCAACAGTTTAGAATTCGCCCATTCAACGATCTCGGCTGATTGTGTAATTTTGGGTCCAAACAGCAGTAGGAGAATAACCGATTGTATTTCAAGGCGGATTACTCGATGAGGGATATTTTATCCCAGTCGAGACCGAGCAAACCGGCGGCGCCCCCGAAGAGTCCCTAATTGTTCTAGCCGCACCTGAACAAAAACTCGTCAAAAATATCCGTCGGCGTTAAGCTCAGCTATTCCTTCTCGAAAAATCCGACGGAGAATGACTGATCTTCGTACTGAATGTCGTAGATACAGCTGGAGGAGGAGCACCCATGAGTGTTTTTTGTGACTGACACTAACGGGTTTCGCGGGTTCATCCAAAATGACCTGTTATTTAACGTGTGATTAACGGGTTGATCCGTCAACCCGTTAACTACCTGACCCATTTATCACTCACCCGAATATTGATTTTAACGGATTAGGTCGGATCGGGTCAAGTTAACGAGTCGGGTTGAAAATGCCAGCTCTAACTACAACCCCACGCCACCCCACTCCATCGCATATGTAACTGCAACCGAACAGATGGCCCATCAGATCCACATAGGAGAACTTTGTGTTTTTTTTTTTTTTTTTTTTTTTTTTTTTTTGCGCCACTAATCATCTTCAATTGTATATCGGGATGTAAGCCGGTCGAAGCGCATGGATGTGATGGCTGGATCCACAGTAGCTAGCTCGTCTTTCCACTCAAGTAATTGTGCTTCGTACAATCCCAGCCCATGCTCTTCCTCCTGCCCAAGCCCAACATTATCTTCCTATGCTAGTAATCAAGATGCTGATGACAGATCGCCTATCCCACGGCTCAAAAACCTCTCATCTGCATCCTCTTCAACCTCCTCTTCCAAACTACTGAACCTCTACATCCATGGCGGCTCTATCAGTGCTGCTGTTACCCCTCTATTAAACTCCCCAACTGCCAGAACACCGAGAATGAGAACTGAATGGGATGACCATTCTGCTCACCCAGGCTGGGCTGGGCAGCAATACCCCTCCCAGCCTTCTTTTGTTTTTTTCCTTTTTTTGAAGTTTATGTGCTACATCAGAACAAAACAAAAATTTTGACGGAATTGCATCGGAAGGACTATGTTGATTTACGACATTCATTTTCAGATACTACATTAATCAATTTTCAATTCAAAAAACGATCTTGATTGAATGAGTCAATTTTAATGACCATTTTTAATAAACCCCTACTTTAGAAGAAAAATATAACAAAACATCCGAGCAAGAAAGTATCATCTGAAGGACACCAAAACCAGCCCAAAAATTGCTGTTAACTCAACCCTGGAATGCAGGAATGATCTTCCATCCCTTCGAATTATATGCAAGCATGCATCAAATATAACAAAACTTCTCATCAAAAAGCAATTAAGAGTACCTTTATCCATTTCAGTCTAACATCCTGTAAGTTTAAAGGGACGGATTTATATGTTTAGTAATCAGAACCTAATTAATGATATTCCCTGCAAAAGCTCAAACAAAAATTCTGAGGCATTGAAGGGTGAACTATAACACGTTCAAGGCTAATGCGCCACCTCGTTGCAGATCTCCACGCCGAAGAGCCTGAAACGTTTCTTTTGATCAGCACGGATTCCTTCAGCTTCATTAATATTTTGGCTTACAGATTCTAGTTTACATTTATCATATTGGTAATTATTAGCATCATTCTCAACCAAGCAGTTAATGTTGTCGTCTTCGCTTTCAGCACCATCCCAGTTAACTTTAACCATGTAAAAAGTTTGTGGCTCCTTGTTACCATTGTCCCCCAATTGCTTGTAATGGCACTGAAAGAATGTAAGAATGTCTTTGGCCTTCAAATGGTGCGTCTTTACGAACCGACTCCAACCCCTGGTGAACACAAAACTCCTGCTGCTCTTCCAATAACAGTACCGGAAAGTCCACGACCTCATCATCTTATCGTAAAACACCAGCTGGCTGGAGCCACTCTCAACCTTCTGACTTATGGATTCCGATATGCTGGGAAAGCACCGTTTAGCATTGGTAACCGGTATCACAAGTCTATTCAGCTTACTCACATCACTTGGCGTCAGCTCTTTTTGGAAAAGAAGTCGATTCAACATCTTTGCATTTCCATTGCTATGCACCCTAACCAAGCTGTCAAATTGAATACCACTCCTCAAACTCTTGCTTGCAGCACAACTCTTTCGATATTCTAAGAACTCAGCTTGGTAGGAACTATCCTTGATCATTCTCAACACAGCTTCTTTGGAGTACTGATTTTGAAAGTGTGGCTCTTCAAAGGTGACTTTGGTCCACGGAAAGTTGCGATGGCACTCCCAACCGCGAAGCTTGATTGCAGCGCTATCATAAGCCATAGCTGCTTCATTCTCAGAACTGAACGTGCCAAGCCAAACCCTTTCGTGATTGGCATATATCTGGGCACCCCAATGCCCATTTGGCTGCTCAACAACGCCTTTGAACCTCTTCGATACATGCCTACTAGCACCATCTGATGAGTCATTCGCAGCAAGGTTTGGATCACAAACTTCTTCAACATCGCGTTTCACCCCGACATTTGAGATCGTTCTTGACATGCCCTCTTCCATAACGCTTCTGCAGTAATAGTAGGAAGTTAATACTGACGTGAAATCAAGAAGTTAAACACGTTATGGTAAACTAAACAACTCATCTGAAATCAACACAATAAGGGGCTAGTTATAAGTACACAAGCAATTGAATTCTTGTATGAACTTTGCTCTCTGATGCACGAAAACCAAAACTATGGAGATGTTTATAGCTGGAGAACAAAAGCATATTGCAATTAGGGCTGGGACCTAACTGATTAGCCTTCTATTGGGATTAGTGTTACACTACACTGTTTTAAACCATTCAGGGTTATGATCAATGTACCCCATTCTCTTCTTAGTTTCTCAACTGTCCTCATCATAAAACCCGAAAACCTTTAGGGGGTAGTGACATGCACTTCATTAAGAGAAAAAGGAAATAACTCGTCCACGGAAAATTGAACAATCCTGTTTGGTTTATGTACAACTAAAGAGGAGAAACACAATAATTAAACACATTGATACGTTAATTGTTTAAACAAATAAAAGAAAGGCTTCGTGGAATCGGTCTATTAATTTCAAACACAAAGACTCAAGGAAAAGGACCGTCAATAACATGTCAACTTTGTAATTTAAAATACAAACACACAAAACTTTAATTTTTTATAAACTGCTCCAGGAAAATCCCACAAATTCCATAATCGAAACAAGTTATAAGAAGGTCAAAACTAGGCAACTTAATCAAGGGAACACACTGGCATCTTTTAAGTTATTTAATTTTAGGCCAAGAAGAACTCAAGCCATTCAATTATCACCAAACAATACAAATTCATGTAGGAGTAATTGTTCCAAAACATAATTGTAATATGAAACCTTGATACTCGAAAAGCATCCTTCAAATGTAGCCAATCAAGAAACCAAAAGAAAGAATAACTGAAACAAAATTTTAGACCAATTTTGTAAACCATATGATGTGGTGGTTGATGGTTGGAGTTCTTTTTCTCTAGCATTGAATCAACTGTGTAGAGTACTGAGAAGAGACTAAGCAAATCTTTTTTATTATTGAAAAAAATTAAAGCCATTCTCTTTTTCATCTTTCTTGAGTTGCAACAAGAAGATCATGTATTGAATGAGCATCTCAACCAGATTTTCAGACCTTGTGAGCTTCATATTAAATACCTAACGTTTGAATATATATAAACAGTACCCTGGAACTTAAATTATGTAAACTAGTTTTGAGTTAAAGAATTATACAATGGTAAAAAAGATATAGGTTGTTGTTGTTCCCGCATAACAAGTCCAGGAAAAAAAGAGAGAATCTCATCAATTTATGAAATCTTCTTCAATGACTCAAAAGTTCAGTATCAAGTCAATTTCTCATGTCCTCATAAAAAGTTAAAAATTACCCGAGCAGTTCTTCAAACTAAACACACAAATCCCCCTTACACAAACAAAAGTAAATTTAAAAAGCCAGGCAGAAAAAGGATTTACAGTAGAAAAACTTAAGAGACCAGCATTAAAAGAAGCCATAAAAATAGAATAAATAGTGAATAAATAGCAAATAAATTAAAAAAAAAAAGCTCATGAAGTTTGTAATCTTTAAGTAGATAACAACTGTTACCTAGATGAATAACCTGCTGCAAATAAACGGAAGCAGCAAATCTGTTGCTCCTGAATTCAATACAAGAATTAGTTCCTATCGGAGAAGCAAAATAAAAACCAACAACACATATAGAAGAATATCAAAAACTCTATTTGGGCCTAGATAAAGCTAAAACCCTAGCTAGTCATCCATTCATTCACCTTGAAACGAAGCAAAAAAATCTTCCCAAAAATGGGCAGTAAATCAGAATCCAGGAAAATCTGGCAATTGAAAGAATTTGTGACATGTAAAAGGAAATTCGTCCCATCGTTGAAAAGGTAATTAATGATAAAAGAAAAGTTGAGATATGGAGAGATGAGGGAACTATGAATTTCTGTCCAAATTTGGCACCGCGCTGTGACCCAGAAGGGTTTATGTTTCCTCTTTCCGCCTCCAGCTTCCACAACAAAATCCGGGTTTGAGTTTAAACCGGAAAATGTGCATATCATCATCAATGCACCCAAAAAAATTAAATAAAAAATCCAATCAGCAAATTGGAATCTTTATGAATATGAAAGAAATTAATTATTGTCTTGGTTTTGAAGAAAATAATACCTTTTGGAAAGGGATCCGGTGAAAGGGATCATCTCCGGATCCCTTCCTTCGGATCCCTTCCTTTTAATTCACCAAGTCTAAGGATCCGGGCTATTAAAATTTGATGAAACGACTACAAACAATGACCTACTTTAAAAATTATAATAACTTTAACTGTTTGATCAAATTTAAATGATCTGAATCCTCGAACTTAATGGATTAAGAGGAAGAGATCCGGAGAAAATCATTTTCCTACCTTTTGATGGTGTAGCAGACATGGGTAATTGACTGAACACTCTACTCCCTCATCTGCATTTAAGTTCAAATATTTTTGTACAGTAATTTATATGAATTTCGCCTTAATACTTTACATGAGTTCAGTGTAGAAAATCACTTGTATCAAAAAATAAAAATAAAAACCTTGTGATGGTGTGGATATGATGCTGAGAGAGAAATAAACAAAGGTGTCCGTTAAAATGTGAACAGTTGGACGGATTAATTAGTACCTTGATTAGCAAAGGACCATCAAAAAAGCTAATTTCAAACTCCATAGACATTTATGATAAATACTACAGTAATACTGAATTGTGATATAATAATTCGCGTGTACTTTTGTTTTTCATACACGTTTTCTAAAACTTAAACATACAATATATTTATTATACACGTATATAGTCACGTCTAATACCTGTTATCTTCACATATTTCGCATAATTTTATTAAACATAAAATTCACGTTTTTTAACAAAGAAACTAATGGGGTGTATTCAATTGAGAATGTGAGAGATTTTAATAGATTTATAAATCCATGAATTTTTATGGAGTTTAATTGATTTGTAGAGATTCCATATAAAATTTTGATTCAATTCCCTCAAAATCTCATGGGAAGAGGTGAGATTTGTGGATGCTTAAAATACACTACGAAATCTCTCCAATTCCCTCTAATTCCTCAACTTTCTCAAATTCTTTAAAATCAATTTCTAATTGAATACACCTGGAATGTTATAAACTTCTTTAAAATCTTAATTGAATACACCTGGATTTCTCTAAGGATTTTAATAAACTATCTTAAATTTCTAATTGAATACACCTAGAATTTCAGAGAATCATTTAAAATCCCAATTGAATACTCCTAGATTCATTAAAAGAATTAAAATCCTTTAAAATCCCAATTGAATACACCCCCTAAATTAATTCACACCAAAAAAAATTAACTAATAAATTAAATGAATACATACTAAAATTTAAAAAAAAAGACCGAATTTTCTAAAATAAATTTTTAACAAAGTGCCGAATAATACAAGTATGTATGTATTTTTCACGTACTAAATTCGTTCTGTATTTTACTATAGTAAATCTTGAAAGAGGAAAACAAAGAAGCTAGGGCTAGAAGATTAGATCTGTGATACTGATAAATGGTGATGAAACCTGAGACTCAGTTATTTATCAGTGGAACTTGAGAGAATGGATGCACACTAGTGTATACATACTGGATATCATCTTCCAAACGAGAAGAAGGGGCAAGGTCGGAGGGTCTGCCTGGGAAAATGAAAATGCAATAATAATTGATTGAAAAAATAGATATAAAGGGGATAAATAAATAAATTCAATTCTTATCTTCTTGAAAGAATGAAAGAAAGAGTACACCTGGAAAGTGGAAGCTGAGACGGTAGTAGGTAGCAGAACTGAGAGAGAGATCGAGAGGAGGAACACAGAAAGACATAATGAAAGGGAGGGCAGCGCAGGCGGTGGGCGGTGGGCGGCGGGCGGCGTGCGGCTGACAGAAAGAGAAGTGAGCACACATCACGCAAAGGTATGGCTTTATACAATTGCCCGAGTGTGCTCACTCTCTTCTGTCACCACCACTCGCTACTAGTCCAGTGATCTACTTCTCTCCCTCATCCACTCACCTTCTCTCTCTCTCTCTCTCTCTCTATCTCTCTGTCTCTCTCTGCTACTTGGTCTTTATATTAGTATATTACACTACTTACAGCAGCTTTTTTTTCAATCTTCTATTTATTGCCGACAACTCCATTATCTATATATCTTCTTCCTCGACTAAAATAGATATGAAGATCTACTAACACACCATACTCCCCACTCTACTCTAGCTAAAGTTCATTTTGTATAGAAGGGACTCGTGACTCAACTCGTCAAGAGCATGTACCATCGAATATGAGGTCATGAATTCAAGTGTTTTCTCTCTTGCTATCATTTTTATTAGAATTAAAAAGTAAAAATGTTTACCTTATGTAACTTAGGCGCGTCTCTTTATATTGAACCAAAATAAAAAATTGGGTATCAGTAAGGATTACTATGTGTTTACTAATTCTCTGAGAATCAAAACACAAACGAACCTATAATATTAGAAACTCACCAACTGATTTAGTGAAATTGGACTCTTGATTAGTTGTTATGCGCTGAGGGTTGGGTCAGTAGACTTCCAACCTCCCTGGTCTTTGTGCTTTCTCGCGATAGCCTTCCTTGCCCTTCGTAAGTTCGTATGAGTCGGGTAGTAGTGATTGAGATTTTGTGGCTTGTTTTGTGGTCTGGTGCTTGGATTAGTCTAGTTGACTTGTCTTCTAAATTTTTGCTACTCTTGTAATACGACTTTGTGCTTCTGCCTTGTTGTTCTGATGTGCCTCTTTTTGGCTTTTAATCAAACAACTTTTACTAAAAAATAGCTGTTTTGAGTGAGATTTACTTAATCTAATTGGCTTCAATTTTCGCCCTTACCTTTTCGTTTTGCAATCGTGATATATATATAGACACACACATACACACACACAGAGGATCTTTATAAAAAGGGATTCTAAAAAAAGTTTTGCAATCGTGATATATATAGACACACACACAGGATCTTTATACAAAGGGATTCTAATTTTTTGAAAAAAATGGGGATTAGGTGTGGGGCTAACTCTACATCGAATTTTAATAATCTGAACGGTCTATTTTATAAGTCTAGATTCATATATCATCCTTGTAAAAATTCAATTCAATCCGAAATCATTTGCCTATTTTATTATCAAGATCAAATTTCATTGTTTCTTGTACAACAAAGTATTCGTTCATTTCTTTGAACCTAATTAGATGTGTTAAATATTTTCGATTTGGCTAATACTTTGCAAGGATGATCAATGAAGTACAACTTAAAAAATAGATGGTTCAGATCGTTAAAGTTTGATATGATATGGACCCTACAACTAATCCCTATTTTTATAAATTAAAAAAAATAAGAATCTCTCCCATTAAAAGCTTCTTAAATATATCCTCATTGACCTTCTTCACATTTTTATCCATAACGGGTTCTGAACGTGGAACATTTACTAATATTAGTACGAGAAACAATATTAGACTAAGACCTAGTGGATAACTTCCTTAACATTTATAATGAAAATAGGTAGTGTATAACTGTTTGCAAAGAAGTTGTCATAAGTTCTAAGCAAAATTTACAAGTTTTTGCATACAAACGAGTGTCTTTGTCTTCCCTAATATTTCTTTTGGGTGCTATATATACATACTAAGTCTGCGCTTGGTATGAAGTAGTGACGGAACCACTTAAGGACCAAAATGGGCACGATTCCGTCCTGAATTTTTTTTCAAATTGGTTCACATATATGTACCTAAATGGAGAGCACCAATTGGTAACTTGACCTTCCAATGATTACCACCATCCTCCAACAAATGCTTGTCATGATGATGTCCCAAATGGAACTCTCAGTTTAGCTAAGAAATCTGGAGCAATCAAATCAGACAAAGACTAGCCACTTCCACAATTTTGTTCTAATATCTTGGACATAAATCTTCCCTCGTATTTTCTTCTATTCTCCTTTCATCTATTATTTTTAGATCCATGAAACCAAAATTAAAATAGAAATAAATCGTTTCAATGAGCAAAAACAAAATCAGAACTTTGTTCTCTCGTTTCTAACGCAACACACACACACACAACAAAAAAGGACAATAATTTCCTTTGCCTATCTTTGTGTTTTCTATATGCCTTCGATTCTTTCATATGATGTTAACTGCATGGTGCCTCTCCTATAATGAATTTCTAGTTTCGATTATCAAAGAGATTGGTCAAAATGCCACATTCAACAACACCGATATTATCTTCAACTTGTTTGACAGGTGTGGGTTTATCACAAATTACCACCTGCACAGTTTGACGAGTGTGGGGTTTATCACAAAAGGCTTGGTGTCAATTTACTACTGCACAGTTTAATGGGTGTGGGGTTTATCACAAAAGGCTTGGTGTTAGTCGGAGTGGGGATTGGGAAATTTAAATTCTTCTTTTCTTAGAGAGATGTCACTGTGGGATATTTCAACATGTTCCTTTATGTAGGATCCAAGTACTGGGTCAAAGATGGGATATCCATACATTGACAATCACATGGAGCCAAGGGGACCTACCCATCACATGGCTACTTGGGGCAGTTCCTTGGCTCTAATACCAAGTCAAACTATCATAGACACTGGCCCAAAGCGTACTTCAACATCACCAATATTATCACAAACTTGTTAATTATCACTTGTACAGTTTGACAAGTGTGAGTTTTATAACAAAAGTTCTTGTTGCTAGTTGAAGTGTGATTATGATATTCAAACTCTTATTTTATCAAAGAGACGGCTGATGTGCGATATTTCAACGTAATATAATCCACTCAAATTTCATATGTAGTGTGAGATATCAAGTTTCTACTTATAAATCTTTCTGAACCATGGGCCCTTTAGTCTAAAGGCCCATATTATCAAAGTCCATTGAAGTCGATCCACGAACACTACGGCTTAACACCCAGCTCGGCCCCACGCGGCCCATTCACTCATACGCGCGTTCGGATCTTACTAAGCAGTCCTCGCCGACTCACAGCAGCTGAACAGAATCATAAGATCAGGGCTTTCTCCCTTCTCATTTCGAATCAATGGCCACGGAAGCTTACGCCGCACGAAACCCAGCAGAGGTTCACACGGACGTCCTCTCCAATGCCAGACAAGCTTGCTACAAGGTCCTACTTCTCTCTCAATCTCTCTCCTCCATTGTTTTTCTCCTGAAATGTAGATGTCAAGGATTGAAATTTGGGGTTTAACCTGCAATTTGACGTGTTCGGAAAGGCTCGGGACGCTTTCTATGCGTGTGTGGAGAAAGAATCGGACAAGAAGCAGACCGAAATCGCGTCGAAGGGCCTGTTGTACCCAGCAGAATGCAAAGCTTCGAGGGAGGAGTTTGTCAAACACTGCCGTACTTCTTGGGTAAAATCTGAAATCCCCAATTCTCAAATTCCAATTTTTGTTTCACATTTTGGGTTTCTTGGAGCACAAAGTTTTAATTTTTATCTATTGGGTTTTTGTTCTTTGTTTAATTTTAATGTTTTGGGGGTTTTAGGTGAAGCATTTTGATGCGCTATACTGCAAGAACAAGAGTCTGAAGAGGCTTTTGGATGATAAAGATTCGAGGAAAGGTCCGTTGTCACTTCCACAGCCTTACACTTTCAAGCCTACCACCACTAGTTAAAACTTTTCATGTCAACTTTTGGTTTAATGGGATCAGGTTAATGTGTTGCTGTTACTCTTATTGGCTATGAGAATTTGTTTGTTGTACAGCAGTAGTAATGAAGAATTAATTGCCTAAAGCTTACTCCTTGTAGTTAAAGAGTCAGTTAAAGAAAATGAGTATCGGTTTCTGACTCAATTTTAATGGATGCATGCTGATGTTTAATGATTATTGATTACTAAATACATTTACGAAGATTT